ACCTTCATTATTTTTCTTCTCATATATTCAGCATTAATAATAGCTAAATCTCTCTGTTCAGAGCTTCAGTAATAATAGCTTTTATCACTGCAGCATCTAACATTGCAAAAGCTCTGGAGTGAACCAACAGAGACTTTAACTCTGGCAGTTCCTGACATCATGTTCTAAAGGCTGTAATGATGTTGCTAGTCCAGGACAAAAGAGCTATGAGTTTATGAATGTTGCTTCACTAGACAGAAGTTCTGAAGCGAAGACATGTTCACTTTGGAATATTTTTCCATAATTTGTTTGGATTGCATAGCATATTTCATACATCAGGCTGAGAGTTACAATTCAGAAATCTGTAACAGAGAGACAGCTTTAAAGAGTGAAATCATTAGTATTCTTTAATTATTTTCAAGCCAATTGCTGGATTTTTTTGGCTGTGGTAAAAAAAAAAAGTGTTTAGGACAAGTCAATTCACTGTGCTTGTTTTTATGACTTCTTATAAGACTCAACCTAACTTCAGGTTGTTCTGGGTTCTTTGATATGTTGTAAATCCATCTCACTGGAAGCTTCTTGGGGGTATGAGAAAAACTGGGAATGCTTTTATGACATATGTGGGATTCCTTCCTTATCCTCACCCCAGCTAAAGGGGCTCCTGATGTCTGGAAAGCAAAAACACCAGCCCTATACCTCAGAGTCACAGTTTTGTCAGAAAATATTCTATCTCATATATAACAAACAACAACAAAGTTAGTTATAACTGAATTCTTCAGCTTAGTCTTTCATTAAAATCCGTTTCATTAAGGATGACTTCAGTCACTGACTGCTTATCAGGTCAAACTCACTATTTACACCCAAACTTAAATGTCTCATCAAACTGTTACGAGCAGTGAGTGTGCAGCAGCTCTGCTGTTGTCTGGAGATGTAGGTGTTTTCTAGTATTTGTGTTTAAATAAAAGGAAAAGCCATTATAATTGCAGGGTTCATTAAAACTCTCAAAAACCCCACCCTGATTGACAAGAGGTTGTAATTGAAAAATGCATTTCAGTCCTAGAGACATAACTGACTCCACCCTTACTCTTTGGGGACTGATCTTATCAAGAACCCAGAGCCCTGAAGGCCCCTGTCTGCAATCAGAGGTGTGACTACAGCCTGCACTGCTCTACCCTTTCTGCAGCGAGGCTGTGTGGTGGGAGCACAGACCACTGTGTACTGGAGACATCAGCAACAGCTGGTCTAGCGTGGTTTGGATGGCGAGCATCTCAACAGAGTATGTTCTGGTAGAGCTGTGTTTGTGCATGGATACTTCAAGGGAGTTTTGAGAGGACAATACTGTAGCAAATGAGAAAAACGTCATTCATTATCAAAATAATTATAACAAGATGAGAATATTTTGCTATGTTGGAAAACAAAAATAAATTACTTCATAAAAAACCTCTTAATTTTCTCCTTTTGCTTCTGCTCCTTTTTGTGCTCAACCACATTTGTCATGTGGCAAGCTCACAAGCTCAGAGTTGACCAGCAAAGTTCCTGTTTGGAGGAAAAATTGCTCAACTTACATAGTTTATACCAAATCAAGATTGAAGTGGTTTATTAACTTACTAACAACACATAATTAAAGTGATTGGTGAAGTATGCATTCAGGATTGATATCGCATGTAAAATATCAACAAACGTGAATTTCTAAACACTTGTAAAACAGCTTCAGAAGCTACCAGCCCACCCACCTCTCCAGGACATGGTTCCCTGGCATGCTGGTCTCTGCAACCTGGTCCTCCAGTATTTTGCTGGACTACCTCCAGTAGCCTATCCCTGTTTTCTTGTGCTGGGGAGCTCAGTACTGCACATATCACCCAGACCAGTGTCATCAGGCTGAGCAGAGGGGCAGGACCATCTCCCTTGACCTCCTGGCAGTGCTCTTCCTGATGGGACCCAGAGGCTGCTGGCTTTCTTCAAAGCAAAAATGACAAATTTTAGTCATGTTTAAAATGTTCTCGTGGATTTGGACCACACTGGCCCAAATGAAAAGCTGTCCCTAAGCATCTATAAACAAATACGCAAGATTTTTCAGACTGTTTGTCCACATTGTAGTCTATGCCACTACAAGAAGGCTGGAGAGGAATTTTTCTGTGAGAATATAGTGATAGGACAAGGGGGAATGGTTTTAAATTGAAAGAGGGCTGATTTAGATTAGATTTTAGAAAGAAATTCTTTACTATGAGGGTGGTGAGGTTGCCCAGTGTTGGATCATCTAGCATGGACCAAGTTTAATGGTGCCTGCACCTCGGCTTGTGCGCCTTTGCCCAGGTGTTGCTTCCAGGATTCCCTGGTTAGCAACATAACAGGAATAAATTTACTCTGCACTCTAGCTGTGAGTTTGTGGTCACCCCAGCTGTATGCTTGTGTCAACTCGCACACCTGGAGAAGTTGTGGATGTCCTATCCCTGCAAATGTCAAGGCCAGGCTGGATAGGGCTTGGAGCAATCTGCTTAAGTGGAAGATGTCCCTGCCTATGGCAAGGTGGTTGGAGCTGCATGATCTTTAAGGTCCCTTCCAACTCAAACTATTCTGTGATTCTATGATTCTGTGATTTTCACTATTACTGCTTCCTGTACTAGGGAAACAGGTTAATGCAGTCTTTCCTTGTATGCGCTGCAGCTACACCCTTTCATGTCAGTCTGTGGAAATACTTGGTGTTTAGAGTTAAAATGCTGATTTTTTAGCCAATGTCACTGATCCTTTCTGCCAAATCTGCTGAGGGATGGAAATGGCAGAACTGACGACAGGATGAGAAGTAGCTTCTTGTCTTTAGTGTGATATTCTAAAGATAGCACAGTAACGTTCTTTATTTGGTGCCTTAGTGGTGGCTATTTCCCAAATCTGTGGTATCAAGTACATGGTGCAGCTTCATGTTTTAGAGTTGTGATGTCCTGTACTGTGTGTTTCTTATTACGAATCCTCTGGTCCTTCTAAGAGCTGAAAGCAGAACTGGCCTTCCTCTGTAAAATGATTTGCTAGTCTCAGCCGATAATGTGATAGATAACCTTGCTGTATAAACAACATGATTAACAAACACTGCCTGGGAGACTGAATTTTAAATCAAGAGGTCTGAAAATAGAAGCCAAAGCAGCTACTGCATAAAGTCTGAGCCACGTTTCTCCATGGGTATTTCTAGGAAACTTGGTCTCCAGAGTTGGTAAAAGGAGTGAATCAACTAATACATCCCAGAACATTTCTCTCATTCTTTTGAGTCCTTCATAAAAAGCACAGGATGCAATAAAGCAGCCTTTCCCTGAAGAGAATCAATCAACTATCTAACTGCATTTCCTTTCTCAAACACAGATCAGATGCTGTACAAGAGAGCACAAAAGACATTACAAAACAGCCTTCCCACAATGAAAGCTTCTTCCTAATTCTCTATAATTAGAATGACTTTTGAATGAGAAACAGCCTGTACAATTTGTGCAGCCTGAGAGACTTCCTGCTCCAAGGAGCTATAAGATAATAACCTAGAGTGCACTGCATCAGACCTTCCCCTGCAGAATTAATTTTGTCTCCTGGACATCACTGGGAGTTTTATGATGGATTCAGATTATTTGGGCAGAGGGGAACAGTGTGATAACACAGTTTGCTCTCTGTTTAACTAAGACTATAATCTACAAATTTTCATGCTTGGGCAATTTCTGGTGGGGCAAGACACCCTCTTTCAATGTCCAGTGTTTTCCGTGGCTTCCTTCTGACCCTGATGACAGCTGCATGTGCTGCTTTGGTCCCAAATCCAAACGCTGACTGATGCCAGCTGATAAATCAGAAAAAGTTTCATACCAAAAGTTTGCATCAAGGTGCCCTTGAAAATCTTGCTTGCTGTATTATGTTTACACCTCAATTTACAGGGAATGACAGAAAAACACACTGTTGTTTCAAAATAAGTATTATTCAATGTTTATTAAAAGCAGGTTTTTTCACCCATTCATATATCTTTGAAGGCAGTTTAAGCCTTCTATGTACATAAATACATAAAGTTAAATAATCCACGGTTAATAGATCTTTTTATTATCTATATTGCCCCAAAGAAATGTGACATGGGAGAGGTCTGTGACTTTATTTATTTAACCTACTAGTTGAGTTATATGCATTCTATGGTAATGTCATAGTCTAGGACAGTGAAATTATATTAAAGAAAAGCTTTGTTTATTAAGAATGGTATTGGACCACTGTAGAGGTAAGTGGTGGGAAACTGAACCGAAAAAACCTTTGACTGTATTACTTTTTTTCTTTGCTTACTGAATTAGAGTAATCCAAGAAGTACTCATTTTTCCTTTGGAAAAAAAGAATTTATTGAAGTGTTTTTCTAAAAATGGGTCAGTGAAGATTTAAGTTTTAAAAAATCTGATCCACTTGGAATACCTACTGATTTTAAAGGGAGACAGAGAAATTAGTAACTTTTTATCTTTTACAATTTCTGTTTCATCTGCTATCCAGTGGTCACTTTACTTGAGCACAAAAACTGTTTAGCTGCACAAATATGGCATGGAAATCCAAACACATAAAAAAGGTATAGTTCAAATTAAGTTTGTAAATACTTCTATATTGCAAAGGCTGTATTAGCTCTTGAAACTTCTGAAGTGAATACAGATGATGCTCTACAGTATGGCACTTATTTCATGACTGTTTTATACTTTGCTAAAGACCTTGCATCTGGTTAATATTTTCACCTATCTCCTGATACCCATTATCTATCTGGTAGCCACTTGCTTCTCTTCAAATGAGGAAATTTCAAACCTATGCACCCTGCTACACTGCTCCAGTCTAATACCCTCTTTTTCATGCAAATAGAGTAGAAGATCGGTGTAAGAAAAGGCATCAAGATTAAGCTTGTTATAGGAATGTCATCCTAAATTTATTCAGCATTTCACTTTCTTGGACTTCCCTTTTCAGTTTTCCTGAATGACTTTGACTTTTGTTCTCCCAGTGCAATTACAAAACTTAGATGTTTAAAATTCAAAACACTGTGGCAATTTTCACCAAGACTTTATTATTATACATTAGCAGGGATATAAGATTGGACAAACCATTGCATCATTGTTTTACTTGCATGGATTTATTATTTCCCAATTCACCCACCACAATCCAGTTCTGAAAGCAGGTTTTAGAGCCCATTGAGAGATTTCATGTCATGAATTCTACCTTTTGTATATAATTGTTATTTCAGTACATCCAAGTAAGTAAAACTCCAACTGGAAAAACAAATACACTATGTGGAGAATAATAAAAAAGGAGACACCTAATACCACATTTTTTAATTAGTGTATGTGCTATACAAGGTGAAATAACTTCAAAACCAAAAATCATCTGCACCACTGCTCCTTGTACTTGCTCTCTCTCTGCTCTTTAACCGTAACATGTCCATGACACTGCGTGCATATATGTCTCGCAAATTGACATTGATATTTGAGTCGCTGGATGAGTTTTTCATGAGTTTCTTTAAAGCTTCACGCTGCCGTAGAGCAGCTTCTTTTATCTTCAGTGTAAAATAACAGGCAGAAAAACGGTCATTTATTATAGCTATTGGTAAAGCCAAAACTAGTATTCCTGATAGAATACACATAAAGGCTACTACCTTACCAATGGTAGTGTCTGGTCTAATGTCCCCATAACCAACTGTTGTCATGGAAGTTGTTGCCCACCACCACGCACCAGGTACGCTTGTGAAAGTGGTGCCCGGCACACCTTGCTCAACAAAGTACTCCACAGTGGAAAATATAGAGATTCCTACAGAGAGGAAAAGCAGTAGAAGGCCAACTTCCTCATAGCACTGAGCGATAGTCATCCCAAGAGACCGCAAGCCTGGAAGACAAGAAAGGCTGTCAGTAGGTTGATTCGTGTAGCTGTCATCACAGCTTTGCAAAGCATCTCTTACCTAAAAGCCGACTGCTTTATGTTTTTCTTTAACATGGTGAACATGTTTTGACAATCACAAAAGCAAAAAGGTTGGAAAAGATCTCCAAGATCATCAACTCCAACCTGTAACTGAACACCACCTTGTCAGCTAGATCACAGCACTAAGTGCCATATCCGTTGTTTCATGAATACTTGCAGTGATGGTGACTCCACCAGCTCCCTGGGCAGCCTGTTCCAATGCTTAATCACCCTTTCTGTGAAGAAATTCTTCCTAATGTCCAACCTGAACCTCTCCTGGACAGCCTGAGGCCATTTCCTCTTGCCCTGCCATCTGTTGCCTGGGAGGGGAGGCTGACCCCCACCTCACTACAACCTCCTTTCAGGTAGTTGTAAAGAATAATAAGGTCCCCCTTGAGCCTACTTTTCTCCAGGAGAAACAACTACAGCTTCCTCAGCCGCTCCTTTTATATGACTTACTCTCTAGACCCTTTACCAGCTTCCTCGTCCTTCTCTGGACTCATTCCAGCACTTCAATGTCTTTCTTGTAGTGAGGGACCCAGAACTGGACACAGTACTTGAAGCGCAGCCTCACCAGTGCTAAGTACAGGGTGATGACAGCTTTCCTAAACCTGCTGGCCTCACTATAGAGGCCAGGATGCCATTGGCCTTCTCAGCCACCTGAGCACACTTCTGGCTCATGTTCAGCTGCCTGTTGATCAGCTCCCCAAGATCCTTTTCCATCACACAGCTTTCCAGTCACTCTTCCCCCAGCCTGTAGTGCTGCATGGGGTTGTTGTGACCCAAGTGCAGGACATGGCACTTTGCCTTAATGAACCTCATACCACTGGCCTCAGCCCATCGATCCAGCCTGTCCATATCCCACTTCAGAGCCCTCCTACCCTGAAGCAGATCAACACTCCCAACCAATTTAGTGACATCTTCTGCCAGCTCCCTCATAACCCTAGGGTGAATCCCATCTGGCCTCATAGACTTGGATTGCAGAGGGTCTATGCTGCTCCTTCTCCCTGTCCACCAGCTCAGGGGGATGGTTGCCACGAGGATAACCGGTCTCTCTGTTAAAGACTGGCGTAAAGAAGGATTAAGTACCTCAGCCTTTTCCTCATCCTTGGTGATAATAATCCCCCTACGTTCAATAAAGGATAGAGATTGTCCTTGGCTCTTCTTTGGTTGGTCATGCACTTTGAAAAACACTCTTTATTACCTTTCACAATGATGGCCAGAATGAGTTCTAGCTGAGCTTTCACTTTTCTAATTTTCTCTCTACATGACCTAACAAAATCCTTGTGCTCTTCCCGAGTTCTGCCCCTTTTTCCAAGGGTCGTAAACTCTCTTTTCTTCCCTGAGTTTCAGTAAAAGCTCTGTGTCCAGACAGGCCGGTCTTCTTCCCTACTGGCTCATCTTTAGACACATAGGGATAGCCTGCTCCTGTACCTTTAAGATTTCTTTCTTAAAGTGTGTCCAGCTGTCCTTGACCCCTCTGTTTTTATGGGCTGTTTCCCAAGGCACTCTCTGAACCAGTGTCCTGAACAGGCCAAAGTCTGCCCTCCAGAAGTCCAAGGCAGTGGTTTTGTTGAGCTCCTCCCTCACTTCACCAAGAATCAAAAAGTCTATCATTTTATAGTCACTATACCCAAGATGGCCTCTGACCACCACGTCTCTCACAAACCCTTCTTCTGGTCTAGTGGGTCACTGCCCCTTGTAGGCTAAAAAGAGGTGCTGCTCTCAACACTACTGAGAAAAAGTGATTTAAAGAAATAGATCAAAATCTTAGAGTGAACCTCTGACATAATCTCTATTTCCTTAAAAGAGAGCATATAAATTCTCCTCATTACTTACCATTTGAACCATGCACACATATACTTTAGACAAATTAGCCTACCTTGATTTAGTAGCTGGCTATAAGAGAAGATCTAGCACAGCTTTTAATGTTATCTAAATAACTATTTAAAAGCACACTAAAAGAACCAGCTTCACACTTCGAAGCTGAACATGCCAAGCCTCTGTTTTCCAGCCATTGTCCTATTTTTCTCTTGGACCAAGCAGTCCTCAGCTACCAAATTCATAGTCTCAGGTTAGAACTGGCTTAGAGCCCAGTTCAGTTCACTCAGTAACTTTCTTTTTTCTTAAGGGCTGTTTCCAATCCTTCTATAGTTGTTGCAGACTGACCCCTTTTTCCCCCAAAACTATCACCTTGTATCTGTAGACATAAAAAAAAAAAAAATACGGCTTTCCAGCAACAGCTGCACTTGTGCCAAACTGGGGATGGCAAAGCCTCCCAATGCAAGCTTGTAATCCCGTTAATTTACTGATGTTGCATCAGTCCTGTTCCCTATGAGCTGCACAGGGAGTTCAGGTGCAGCCAACCAGTCTCCATAAACCCCTACATTCCTTTCAGAGCTGCTGCTTCAAGGCTACAGTGCCTGACAAAGCAAGCAGGAAAGTAAATCCAAAAATAGTGCAATGGATAAATGTTACACACATGAACAACAAAGGAAGATAACAGGGTACCAATTCAGCTGAGACACGTGGGAGACTGAAAATTATCTTTTGAATTGCAAGTGACTTTGGATTGGTTTTTAATACCATTCTTTAAAAGTGTGCTGTGTTTTCTCCAATTAAATGAGAAACCACATTATTTATGAATTACCCTTCATGGGGTAAACTTATCGCTAAGCTAATGTTTGCAAAATAGCTTACTGGAGCTCTGCCTCTGCTTGCAGACTTCATACACTCATTAGTGTTATAAGCAATTTTATTTGCTGTTCCTTTCACAGTCTCAAACTACAAGATGTTAAATGTCTTGCTTTTTGCTCTTTCTTTTCCCCTGCAGGTCTAATGGGTTTTAAAGCTTTTTTTCATGTACAGACAACAATGGAAGTACACACTACAGTTTGTAGGGAATGTTTTGCTGTTTTTTTTCAATGCTATCTGCTACTAACTCCAGTTAAGAACTTGCCATATTCAAGTTTTATATTACTATAACTATGATCTGTTGGTTACAATGATACAAATTAAATCTGTAACACAAGGGGAATAAGATATATCAGTTGAAATCTTTTCTCTCTTATTATGACTGCCTCTATATTTTGGAAACACTAGTATCAGCAGTACCAAAGCTCTGTAAGATAACTGCAAGGACCCAGATTAAATTCTCATCTTCCAAGGAAGTTACTGTGATCCATTGCTCTGTAAAACTTCCTGCTGAACAAGGTAGTAAATCCTTTCAGGTGAACTAGGAAGAAGGTACTCCAATTTAAAATTACCCCTGTAGCACTTCTTTTCAAAGCATAAATTAATACTATAAAAGCCAAGGTTTTTACCTTACGATTGTTCTTGAGAATATTATAGCTAGAAAAAATGCATCTCTTGTATAAAACAGATTAAAATAAGGAGGAACAGAACAGTGATTGTTGACTCTTTGTATCACATTGATGACACCTTCAGTAAAATATTTTTCCTATAGTTAATTATTCGAATTGTTCAGGAGTTTGATTTTTTTTCTTATTATTCTTAGTTCCGTTATACTCACCTGAAATTATGATATAATTCTTCATGTCTTTAGATGAAGTCAGGAAACATTTTTAGACAAATTTATGAATCAGACAAGTTACTGGACTCCACATCTCATTTTAAGTGAGAATCAGTTGGTATACTATAATCACACATATAAAGTATTCTACTATATTATTTTGTAACTTTTTAAAACGTCTACGAGCCGTAGCACATGACCAAACTAGGGCTGTTCCAGCACAGACACCTCAGCAAGTCTTACAGTTTCCCAAGAGAACTCTTTGCCAGGAGATGTGACAGCTTGGTTACTCATGCTTGCAAGGTGCTAAGGTGCTGTAACAGAGTTGGTGTGAGGCTGGCAAGCAGCCCCAGCCCTGGCAGTAGGAAGGGGAAGCTTTTCTGCCATTCAGGTCAAGTTCCATCTCTCTATTGCCCAAATAGACTTGGCACTACAACCTGATATTCAGAAGCTTCAATTTACACAGTGTTTAAATAATCCTAAATTTTTTAGCACTAAAAGTGCTGAAGTTTCATTTTTCATGTCTCCAGCGGCATGACAGCCTGAAATATGTTACAGTCTTCTCTCAGATATATGCCCATTGCCATCACAAGTAAGATGCACACTTCTCAAGAAGTCCCTCTGTAAGTGCTTCCCAGAGGAACACCAGCAAAACTTCAGAGAAAACAAGGCCCCAGGAGGAAGGCAACAGCTGAGGAGCATCAGAGAACAAGATAAATGCAGGTTCAGTTCTCATCTATTCTTGAAGCCACTAAAATACATAATTTTGATATCTCGGAAGACTAGTCTCACCCCCTAACTACACATTTTATGGATAGAGGTACTACTGATTTCTCAGTGGTTCCTTGAGGAACTATAGCACTTTGCATAAATAATTACATCAGTCTAGACCAGGTGTTCCCAGGTATCACATCCCTCCCGTGAGCTCGCTTCAGCCTCCAAAGGGGCAGAAATTACTTTTTTCATTTCTTTTTCTGTCCTTTTCCCACAGAAAGGGTTAATTTGCCCTGTCTTGAAAGTGAAGAAAAGAACTGATATATTTTTTTTCCCTGAGAGCAGGACAAGGCTGCAGTTGTGATCCTAGTTTTGTTAGGGCTCTGCATAGCACTACAGAGACGTTCTCCTTGTGACTGTGAACACCCCACTTGGTGAAAGAATTGCTGCCTTCACCTTCTGACCCTGTACTCCTCTTGCCACACAAAACAACTGAGCATGAAGCTTTGTCAGGTCTGAGAATGCAGGAGTGTGAGAGAAGCTTCATTGGGAGGCAGGTTTAAGCTGCCAGATCTGAGGCAAGAGAGCAGAAGAGTTGCAAGCACCACCCCTGAACACTGAAATTTATCTGTCTAGAGACGTGCAAGGAGGACGGTCTCTATGCATGATACTTATGGGGTTCATCTGTATTAGGACTTGTGGTTAAGAATGTATTTAGAAGCATATGAACAAAGCTCTCTTCTGCAACATACCTCTAGTGGTCAGAAACTGGGCTTCAGATCTGCAAGTGTTTCTATTTTGATTTATTAGCATATTTATTATTCATTTAATCTTATTAGCAGCATTTCTTCTGACAGAAGATGAAAACAGCAAGTTTCTACATTTAAATTATACAGATCTGATTTAGCATTCTGGACCTTAATGGGCAGCAACTGAACTACCAAAGAAGCAAGCAAGTGATGGTAACACTGCTCTGAACAGTTTAAACAGATATGTATGTTGCTTTTTGTACTTTGAAACCGGTATTTTGCTCCCAGGAAAAAGAATGAGTATATGGTTCCAGCACATCTCCAGATTAGGATACTAGATTTTTATATAATTTATATATTTTTATCACTTCTACCTAACATGGAATTATTAAACTCAATATTAAGGGCACTCAACATTGTGACATAGTGTGGTAATACTGAATAACGATTGTAAGAATAAACAGGTTCAAGTGTTTTGACCATCCATGAAAGTTAATGTACTTGAAGTTAACAGTTATACAAGCAGCTGAAACATGTTTTCAAACTGATCGAGCCACAGAACTGAGTTTCAGACATTCATTCTGTAGCTGTAAAATGCAATAAACCAGAAACTTTATAACTAGAATCAACATACTTTTGGATGACTGTTTCGTTAGTCAGCACAGAAGTGCCTTGATGAAATTAAATCTTTTTCTTATTTACAAAATACAGTTAGAGAGGAAGGCACTCACTTTAGTGCTACCATCAAAGTGGGTATAAGCCTTTCTTTCAAAAAACCTCAACCAAACCCTGAAAAACTTAAAAGAGTGAAGCAAAACTGACACACTGCCAAACCAAACCATTATAAACTTACTCTCAACTGCTTTCTAAGGGACAGTTATGCATCAATATAGGAATAATCAAGGGTTGAGAGTAAGATAAGGATACTTCCCAAACCCCTGTGATTATGCTTAGTAGCATCAAAGCTACTCCAGCCCATTGTTCATTGAGAACAAAAACAGAGGCACATTCTGCTGCTGTGAGCACACTGTAACTCCTGCTGAACTGGGACCAATTCACAGAGATGGCTTTCAAAACAAATGGACAGGCATCAACCAATTCCTGCTTTGTGGCTGGAATCCTGGAAGGGTACATTGGGTGCATTTTAAGAACGATCATCACTGCCTTCAGAACAGGCTAATATTGCAGGACACAGACCATGATTTACTATTGGGATCTAATTTTTCAGAGCTCGAAGTGTTGGCTGAACATCTCTCCTGTAGAATTTAGCACAACATTCTGCACTGATTTAAGTGGAAACATAATTAAATAATTTTAAAAATGCCAAGCACTGGACAATATCATGGCATGGACAGGGTATGGTGAGAATACAGCTTTTATTCTTTCATATAGCCAGGCATGCACACATTATGAAGTAGTAATAAAAACAGGGGAAACACAAGAGCAAATGCAACACCTTCCAATCATTTCCAGCTTCCTCTGATAAATTTCCATTAGAAAACATTACCTTCTATGCCTTTCTTTCCCAGAGAGAGTGAACAAAATGTTTCTCATAAATGCATTTTACCTTCCATCCCATCTCTGCTTGCTGTCCATCCACTGGTCTGCTAACCAGTCAGGGGTGCTTGGACACTCAGGGCCCCACACCAGTGCATGAACATGGATTGAACCCAGCACTGCTGGTCTGTGTTGCATCCACGTCCAACTTGGTAAGCACTGGGATACCAGTGGGTTCAACAGAGCAAGAGAGCCCCTCAACCCATCACCTGCAAAGATTCAGCTTAAACAATTTTCTTGAAATATACTCTATTGTGGTTGTTTTTAGGACCTATGATGTAGACTAAAATCATGATATATTTCTTTCCATATACTTTTAAACAAAACAAATTATCGCAGCTGTCATGAGTGGGCCTTGGATAATACAAAAAGGATGTGCCAGTGATCTCTGTTGTTTCCCTAAAAAAATCAACTCAAATATATTTTTTTAAATTTATGACACTGAATGACTGGTGCATGCAACTTTAGGATCTGTTTTTGTGGAAGTTCTATGCAAACAATATACAATGGCATTCTGAAGAGCTAAAATTTATCAGAGAAGGCCCTTGTCACTCAATTATAGGGTCCAAAAGTAAGACTTTCACAAGCAATTGCTGCTAACATACTGTGTAAAAAACTTGGGCAGAAATACCCACAAAATGGAGGACTGTGCCCAGGGACAACTGTTGCAGGCAGCAAAATTAAGAAGTACCACTGCTATGGCCAAAAGTACCTGTTGAATGTCTTCCCAGCTTCAACATCCGCAGGGCTCGGAGCAGTCTCAGCACTTGGACAATACGTCCCACGTTCTCCAGTTCTTGGGAGCTCTCACCACCACACAGGCTCTCCACCAGCAGGGTGATGTAGAATGGCAAAATAGCAAGGAGGTCTATGATGTTTGCCACACTCCTTAGGAAGCGACACCGGTCTCGTGCACACAGGAACCTCAGAACAAACTCCACTGTGAACCACGCAATGCACAGGTACTCGAGGGCATCCAGCAGTGGCGGTGCCAGCCAGCTTAGCTCTACCGAAATCAAAGCCATGTTGGCAATGGACACAACAACAAAAACCATGGACAAAGTGCCAAAAGTTCTGGCTGCTGCAGAGGAGCCAGGCTTTTCCAAAACTTCCCAAAGTTTCTGTCTGACATTGGGACAGAGGCTACCAGAAAAGTCCTCTTCTTCATCTTGGGCATCCAGTTCTTCTGCATCTTTCTTGATGTCTAAGGCTTCACTCAGCTCCTTTCTCCTGAAGTACCTGTCCAGGAACCACCCCCCCCCCCCAAAAAGATTTTTAATACCAATATGCATATGCTTTTCATCCTGTACCATGAAAGTCATTACACATTAATACATATTAAAGTATACCATACTCAGAAAACCCTAATATCAAGCATATGGTGGAAGATTTTGTTAACTGAAACCCTGCAGCATGTTTCCACTGACCTGATATACTTCTATTCCCCCATTTTGCATCACTGACACTTTCTGTGTGCAGAGTAATTTTATTCTGATATCGTTTTATTTATATGGATCATGTTGACTACAGCAGAATCTGCTGCATGACTAACATGCATTCTTGTAAGCAATTCTGTCATCCCCAGATCCTCTGCTTTAAAACGGTTCTCAGTTTGATTAATTATATTGCATTTTTATTACATTGGTGTGTATTTGTAATACTAAAACTGATGGCATAATAAAAGCCAGAAAATGAAGTTCTGATCAATACATACTAAGATGGCAAGGTATCTTTCTTTTTTTTATATATATCTATGGGTCCTCACACAAAGAGCACAAGCATTTGTGCTGAGCAAAACTTATGGACTGAAAATACATAACTTGTCAGAGCAAGAGTACATTTACAGAATAATGGCATGAAACAAAAACATACTGAAAGTACACTAAAAAAGTATTTTTTTCTTTCAGATCTGTATTTGTTGACTGTTGTGAAGTTCAAGCCATAGACAAAGGGATTATGCAAGTTTGCCTTCACTTAATACACAATTAGTCCTGCATAAGCCAAAGAGGTCTGTAGTTCCTTGTATCACCAAAGAAGTAGGAACTTTCAGTTACATCTCTCAGGGAAGGAAGAGAGGGATGAAAACTAGGCTCCAGCTCTCTCAAGCTACAGAACTAAACCATAGTAGGATAACTGGTTTCCTTTGGGCATGAGATTGCTTGTTTCTTTCCAGTAATTTTGACATAACTGCTTTAGATAAATAGCACTTACACTCTTTAGAAAATTCATTTCTTCAACACTAAAAAATCAAACCAGTACCATTAAAAATGGTGGGAAAAATTAAAATGAACTGCAAATAGAATTAACAGAAACATCCTGGGGGTGGTTCAGTCGAAACCCACCTCGTTCCTAAACTGCCTATTACAATTTGTCTCCAGTGAGCCATGTTCCTGCTGTTGCTACCCCCTCCTTCTAAGCTGCTACATCCATGTGTGATGCTTCCTTTCATGGCTCCTGCTGAAGCCATGACACCCACACTCTGCCTGGCAGGTGACCAGCCCCCTCTTCTGCCTCTCCTGCTTGGATTTGGAAATCCTTCAAAATGAAAGTGTGGGGTGAGGAGGATTCAAACCCTCCCAGCATCATGCTTGACTCCACATCCAATCACTCTATGATAACCTCAAACTGAATGACTGAAGGGGCATCTCTCCTTTCACAATCTTTTTCATCTCCAGCATTGTCCTCTTCAAACATTTGAGCTTCTGTGGCCAGTCTGAAGCCAGTACACGACAACCCAGACCATCTTCCTTTTAGGGTCTCACTATTTTGACCTCACTGCCTATGTGTCCCTCAGCAAAGGTTATCTGTGACCTCCCCCAATACATCTCCTCCCATTTTTGACACCCATACACCTCCAGAGCAGCACTCAGGGCTGAATTCACCCAGCTTTGAGCACACTTTTCTGAAAGCCCTGCTACCTCACCTATCCCCACTGCTGTGTCTCTCATCTGTGTGTCCCTAAATGTAAGTCAGTGCTGAGCTCACCCAGCCCACTATCCCGCAAATCTCATCTTCCCACAACTCACCGGTCTCTGCAGCAGGAATCAATGCTGAGCTCATCCAAACCCCAGTATTGGATCTCTTGCAGGAACGAGAGTGCACAAAGCTGCTCCATCACATGCAGCCTCCCTGTCTGGTAGTAATTCAGGATGTAGTGAAATGCCTGTGAGCTCCGATCAAAGAAATATTCATTCTCCACAAGGTTGGCATCATCACAAAGCTCAAGGAGGCCAGAAGCCACATCCCGGGCAGCAGAGACCACTACAGCCAGTTTGCCAAGGCGAGTGTCAGGGTAGCAAGACAAAGTTTGCTGGGACATCACAAAGCGGCTGCCTCCTACATTGATAGTAAAGCAGTCCAAGGGGGGAATGACCTTCTGGAGCAGGGGTCCCTGATCTTCCTCACTGGAGAAAACACTGGAGTTCAGCGAACCCAGGGACGTGCTACTCCCTGGTTCGTCCAGGGATGCTTGGGAAGAAAGAGACATGCAGCAGGGAGGCGACTTCATCCTGTAGCTGCCAGCAGCAGCCCACACTCTCCTGGATCAAAAACACAACAAGGCTGCAGAGAAGACTGCCCCGCCTGGGGGGCGGCCAGACCAGGCTGGGAATGGGTGCCTTGGTTCTGGCTACCGTCCCAGGGACACCTCACCGCCCCCGCTGACTCCGAGCGGTGCCTCCATCTAAGCGGAGATCAGGGGAGTGTTGCACAGCCCAAAGCCTCCCGCACACCCGAGGATGCTGAAGAAGCCACGGTACCTGAGGCGGCGTCACCTCGTGCTGTCCGCGCCGGCACCATCCGCCCGCGACGGCCCCTCCGCTTCTGCGCTCATCTCCAGCCGCTGGGTCGGAGTGCGGGAAACCAACTGGGACGGCACAACACGGAACACTGGCTTCAGCGGGGACTCCGGGCAGCGCCCCGACAGCAGCCTTGGGGACTGCGCCTCTGCCTGGCCCGTCCCCTCCCGCCCCGCACCCGCACCCGCACTTCGCCCGGGGCTGCTGCTGCCAGAGACAAGCCCTGCGCCCCTCAGCCCCCGTCTCCGGGGCAGCCGCCACGGACCGGGCGAATCGGCACGGCTGCTCCCCACGGCCGGCACGGCCACCCTCCGCTCCGCCGCCCCCGCCCTCCTCACCTGCCCCCGCCCTCCTCACCTGCCCCCGCCCTCCTCACCTGCCCCCGCCCTCCTCTCACCTGCCCCCGCCTCACCTGCCCGCCGCCCGGCTGTGCCGCCCCCTCGGCGGCAGCCTCCGCTCGCTCCTCCGGCTCCAAAGCTCCGGGCAGCGCCAGCGCCCCTCCATGGCGGGCCATGTGCTGCGGGGGGCAGGCGGGAGCGGGGGCTGCGCGGGCCGGGCCGGGCGGGGCCGCTGCGGGGCCGAGCCGAGCAGGAGCTGCCCCCGCCCCGCCCCGCCCCGCCCCGGCACTGCCCCGGCACTGCCCGGGCACGGCCCCACACCGCGGGACTCTGCGGCCGCAGGAGCGGCGGTGCTGGAGTGGGGCGGGTCGGTTCCGCTGTGTGCCTGCGCTCCGGGCTCCCTGTGCCCAAAGAGTGCTCCCTGCGGGACAAACCGGCCCTTGCGAACTTCTGTGAGAGAGTTGGCAGGGCTGTTTGGAATTCGTCCTCCCGTACTGTGTGGAACCCCAGACGTGTTTTTAAGTAGATAATGCGTCCTCACTTAGGCTGCCTGCTCCCACGGCTCAAGTCTGAAGTCACTCGCGTAAAAGCAGTCATTGTAAAGGTGTGCGTGAGCGAGCCTGTTTTAACTGAGCTGCAGTCAACGTTTTCAAAAATACTCAGGAGTATCTTTGTCATCCTCCTGTGCTGACTTTGTAAGTCCTCAATTCACCCTCCTCACTGTATTTCCTTTTCTCCTATGAAACAGTTATTTCTGACAAATTTTAAATATTTGCTCTGACAAATTTAAAATGTTTGCGTTTGCAAATTTGCATTTTCTGCTGCCTCTGACTCCTTGCCAGGGCACGCAAAATATGGCATTTTGTGTTGTGCCACCAGCATCGTGTGCTGTGCCACCAGCATCGTGCTGTGCCACCAACTTTTGATTCCACTTGTTGCATACAGATGTGTCCAGTTATGCACATTTCTAACATTTACTGCAGAGTGGCTTTGTAGCAGTTCATCTTTTGGATGCTGGTAATCCATATTTTAAATGAGGCTGAGCTGAACATTTACTGTATTGCAGCGTTACAACACCCGCAGCAACCGCTCTACACAGCATTTGTTGGCATAGAAATCAGCTCCAAGTGACTGTTGGCAAAGACATACACTGATCAGAGAGAATCTGGTAGAGAAGAGCAAGGGTGGGGTTTGGAAGTCATAGTCCGAGAAGAAAAGACAGAGTGGAAGAGAATGAGCATTGTAACAGTCGTCAGCCATGTGAAAAGCTGCTCACAAAGATGAACGGTTCTTCTTGGATACATTGGACAGGTGTAAAAATTATGGATTTCAAATGTGTCATAAAGAAAAATAATTACTTATTTGCATAGACATTTCAGGAATATTTTCTCCATTAGAAAGGAGATCTGAAAACACTCCCATCACAATGATTCCAGGGGTGGATGCTTCCAATTACTTCAGATCTACTGGTGTTTCTAAAAGCCTGGCTATAAGTTTCGATTTTGTCTAGTCAAAGTGAGTATCAAATGCCTAGCCTCATTAAAACTATTGATAATTTCTCATAAAATACTCTGATGTATTATTTTCAGCACATGTGGAGGACTTTGAGGGACATAGTTTAATTTTTTGTTTATTTATGTCCTTTATGGAATAATGCCTGCATACAGATATGTCACTTCAAAGTAAATTTTTTGTCTGATTATCAGATGTTCAGACCAGAATGTTTTCTTCAAAGCACTAGAGGAAAGCCATGTGTTGAGGATATTCTTTCCCTCAGTTTCACGCATTTTTCTATTTACTCCTCACTGCAGGAAAGAGACATCACCAGCAAAATACCATGGCGTTCATAACTTCCATAATGTGAACTCACATCACCACAATTAGACAGGAGATCCACGTATGATATAGCATCTTAATTCTGAGTGCTGGTTCTCTTCTAGTCATAAACTTAGATTTTCATTAAAAAAGGAACTTTCAGAAAAACTGTTGTGAAAATTATTTTCAAATGTACCAATAAAATAAAGCTGGGACATTTCAAAGAAATTAGAAAAAATGTTTTATGAGTAGAAGGCTCAAAAATGGACAATTTGTTTTTCTAGCACTAGAGACACAAGAAACAGGCACTGCTGGCACATATTCCATTTTCTATGGAACTCTTAAAGGAGCTGCTGTTCGTTGTTCCTGTTCACTTGTACGTGAGGAACCAAAGTAACAACTTCTGTAATTTTGTTATTCCTTGGTAAACCGACTCAAGCAACCATATTTGTATAGCAGTGGAAAAAACTGCTATAACAGTACAAAGAGTCATTTGGTCTTACTCACTCTGCCAGTGAAGTGCTGCTGCTGAAGTGAACCATGGACATTTCCAAGGTGGTTTGGCTCGTGGAATTTGTAATGTTGGATGGAACCATGCCTGCCTGGTTCAGAGCTGTGGTTGAGACCAAAGGGGTTACTGTACTGCTTTGTCACGTCAGAGTATCTGTGACAACTGAACGCTAGTGACATCTGTCTGAACTATTGTCTTTACCAATGCTACAGCTGATATTTCCCTGGTATACCACTGACTGAAAAAACAGATTGCATTATTTCAAGAGATTGTACAAAAAAGAAAAAAAAATGCTGGAATGCTGAAATATGAGTTGCAACCCAGTATGTCTGTTGTGGGAGTTGAAAAATTTGCTTCAGCAAAAAGCCAGCTGTTACAAAAAACTCTTTTATAATATGTTTTCCTGATATTCTCTACTCATGTTGAAAGCTATGATTTTATGGCAATTGTGTAGTCACTTTTTCCAGCTGGTACACTGTGATATACAGGAAAAGCCAGGATGTGCAGGTGCCAACATTTGTCCTTATCTTGTCAGATAGCCTTGATTCTCTTCTTACAGGAGTAGTGGTTCAGTCAACTGATTGTGAGTTACTGTCATTTCTGACACATTGGATTTGCAAATTTTTAAAGTGTTTTGATCTCATATATTAGTCTGCGTTTGGAACTTAAAATCTGATTTGCTCTCCTAGATCTTATGTAGTAGAAGAGAGGGTAAGGATTAGGAAAAAAATATGATAGATAGGACATATCGAGGGAAAACTTCCTCCAGGAACACCTTCTTAGTTTTCAGCAGGACAGGAATTTCATAAGTGAGAGGCTGCATGGAGCCTAACGTGCTTAATAACCTTTCATGATGCTGCAAGTTCTTGTTTGAACTCATTTCTTTTTGATGTTGATAAGACTTTGTTCAAGATTCCCCACAATTTAACTGTGCACAGGGTCAAAGATACCATTCAGTTCTGTTAAACTGTCCTTCTATCTGGTGCTGTGCTTGATGAATAATGGGGTCGTGCTCATGTTCCCAGCACCATTCATGATTTTGCTGACATCTGCCAAACAATATTTTCTAAGGAAGTAGTCATTTTCAATAATATATATTTAGTTTTTTATATGGATCCAAGCTTTGTGAGTAATGAATCATAGAAAGGGTTAAAACTAATGGATGTTGGCAGTTTTAGTATTTGTCTGTTGCAAATTTTGCAAAAGATGCAAGCCACTGAGCCCTGAGTTCCATTGCATTCAGCACAAGATATAATCTGTATCATAAACTCCATTCCCATCACACAGATCATGAGTCACTCCTGCAAATGATGGTGGTACTGGATAGATCCTCTGCTGAGTCTTCCCCTTTGGTTAGTATGAAGCAGGGCTCCTCGGGAGCAGTTGTGGTTCCTTTAAAATCTAGTTTTCTGAAGCCTGCCTTCCTTTCATACAGTCTGAGAGCTGCTGTAATGTCACTCTTGCAATTACAGGTGAGAAAATACTAAACCTAGAAATTCTCTAGACAACTCTCTGCTGTTTCCCTTGGCAAGTGAAATAAGAGCTTATTAACACAGCTTTATTCCCTCCAGGGGTATTCTGCTCTTCTTGTGGAAATGGTCCAGCCAGATCTCACTTCCTTTGAGCTAGCTGCACAGAACAGACAGATCAGAAGACACACAGTTTGGTTCACATTGTGTGAAAACAGTTTAAGAGAGTACAGAATCAGGGCTATGTTAAGAAAGCTGTTTTCAGTATCTCTGAACACTACCCACTTTCAGACCCTATTTATTTTCTTGCCTTTTACAATGTGGTAGGAAGTAAAAAAAGCGTAGCTGGGGAGATAGTTTTGTAGAGCAACTTACATATATGAGCAGTTTTATTTTTACAGTAAGGGTTACCTTTACATCCACCAACTGCATAGGAAAGCAAGTTGCTGATATTTTCTGCTGAAATTGTAATGGAGATGGGCTTTAATGTATAAAACCGGATTTGATAAACGTATGTCTAATGCTAGGCTGGATGTTATTTTCACTTTTATTAGATTGGTGCAGGAGATTAATAAGAATTTTGAGATTTTAATTTTAGCTGCATTATGCCAAATCCCCAAAGTCCTCAGAGGTGAATAAGAGATATGCAATCATAACTGACTGTTGACCTACCCAATGCATTTTTTAGGAACTATTACTCTCCATCCTCCTATCAGTGAATAGGTACAACTCAGCAATTCCAAGGAAGATTACATATAAATATCAAGAGGAAGAATACTTCTCTTTAAACAGGGCTGTGCTTTTGCTCTGAACGAAAGCTCTGATGGCTTAGTATGCAAAATCATACCTTACAGTAAATTTTAAAATAGATCAAAGAGAGTGAAGTCCTTCAACATAAGATGAACTTTAAAGCAATCAATCTGAGATTTAAACCCAT